GTTGCGCGGACGGGTCGACATGTGTCACCTTGTTGCGGTTACGGTTGAGGCTGCGCGGGCGGTATGAAATGTGTGGCCCGGTTGCGGTTGCGGTTGCGGTTGCGCGGGCGGGTTGAAATGTGTTGCCCGATTTCGGTTGCGGTTGCGCGAGCAGGTGGACATGTGTCGCCAAGATTCGATTGCGGTTGCGGTTGCGGCTGCGCGGACTGGCTTGAAACGTGTTGCCCGGTTGCGGTTGCGGTTGCGCTTGCGCGGGCGGGTTGAAATGTGTCGCCTGGTGGCGGATGCGGTTGCATTTGCGCGGGCGCGTTGAAATGTGTCGCCTGGTTGCGGTTGCGGTTGCGGTTGCGCGGGCGGGTTGAAATGTGTCGCCTGGTGGCGGTTGCGGTTGCATTTGCGCGGGCGCGTTGAAATGTGTCGCCTGGTTGCGGTTGCGGTTGCGGTTGCGTCTGCGCGGGCGGGTTGACATGTGTCGCCTGGTGGCGGTTGCAATTGCGGCGCGCGGGCGGGTTGAAATGTGTCTCCTGTTTACGGTTGCGGCTGCGGTTGCGCGGGCAGATTGACATGTGTCGCCTGGTTGCGGTTGCGCGCGTCCCCTTGGGCGGTTTGACATGTGTTGTCGGACGTGCTCTCCTGGCGTTCAGTTAATCACTGGCGGGCTCGGAATTTCAGCCGGCTCCGCCGGGAAAAATAACGCATGATCGAGGGTCCCACCTGAAGCAAAGATTTCCCCATGATAATGCCTCCACCGTCAGGAATACCTACTACAAGGGCCCTTACTGATGCCCTCACTAAAAGCATCCCACTGAAAATGGCATCATTGAAAGAGTCCTTACCCAATATCATTACTACGGGCAGCCTTACCCTGAGGAGTCCCTAGGACAGGAAAGCTGAAACTGAAACCCCTGCCACAAAACTACGTATCGAAAGGGACGTTACTACTGCACCCTCATAAAAGGGGCATCACTGTTGTGGTGGGATATATGAAAGAATCGCCAAAACCTCCTCCGCTTCCCCGCCTCCAAGGCTGCTAGAATATAGGATTCAATAAGCAGAATCCCTTTGCCGAGGGCATCGGTACTTTAGGGGCCTTGGTACTAAACAGTATAGTTATGCGGAATCCGCATTGCAGGTACCACGATTGAGGGGATCATGTGTGCGGGGCATCATCTATATCTATATGAAAAAAAGAAGAGAGTGAAAGAGAGAGAGAGAGAGAGCGAGAAAAAGAGAGAGAGAGAGAAAGAAAAAAGCAGGGGGCAGCGAGAACACATAGATATAGATAGTGCGAGAGAACAAAATTATCCGGGCGAAGGACCCAACCATATGCAATTGTGAATAACGCTCTGTGGGTGCCGCTTTCGGTGGGGCTCCATATGGGGCCACGAAAGGCGTGCCGCGAAACGCTGTCCTGGGCGCACGCGGGCGGTAGCACTGAGGCCTTTGGTGGAACTCCCTATGGAGCCACGAAGCGCTGTCCTGGGCGTGCGGGACGCATGCGGGCGGTAGCACTGGGGCCTTCGGTGGAGCTCCCTATGGGGCCACGAAGCGCTGTCCTGGGCCCTCGGCGGCGAAACGTGTGAGGGGTGTGCCGAAATGGGTGCGGTGCCGCCATGCCAACGCAGCCACTGGGGCCCTCGGTGGAGCTCCCTATGGGGCCACGAAACGTGTGAGGGGTGTGCCGAAATGGGTGCGGTGCCGCCATGCCAACGCAGCCACTGGGGCCCTCGGTGGAGCTCCCTATGGGGCCACGAAACGTGTGAGGGGTGTGCCGAAATGGGTGCGGTGCCGCCATGCCAACGCAGCCACTGGGGCCCTCGGTGGAGCTCCCTATGGGGCCACGAAACGTGTGAGGGGTGTGCCGAAATGGGTGCGGTGCCGCCATGCCAACGCAGCCACTGGGGCCCTCGGTGGAGCTCCCTATGGGGCCACGAAGCGTGTGAGGGGTGTGCCGAAATGGGTGCGGTGCCGCCATGCCAACGCAGCCACTGGGGCCCTCGGTGGAGCTCCCTATGGGGCCACGAACGTGTGAGGGGTGTGCCGAAATTGGTGCGGTGCCGCCATGCCAACGCAGCCACCGGGCCCTCGGTGGAGCTCCCTATGGGGCCACGAAACGTGTGAGGGGTGTGCCGAAATGGGTGCGGTGCCGCCATGCCAACGCAGCCACTGGGGCCCTCGGTGGAGCTCCCTATGGGGCCACGAACGTGTGAGGGGTGTGCCGAATGGGTGCCATGCCACTGGGGCCCTCGGTGGGGGGTGCCGAAAGGGGTGTGCCGGGTGCGGTGCCGCCATGCCAACGCAGCCACTGGGGCCCTCGGTGGAGCTCCCGATGGGGCTACGAAGCGTGTGAGGGTTGTGCCGAAATGGGTGCGGTGCCGCCATGCCAACGCAGCCACTGGGGCCCTCGGTGGAGCTCCCTATGGGGCCACGAAGCGTGTGAGGGGTGTGCCAAAATTTGTGCGGTGCCGCCATGCCAACGCAGCCACTTGGGCCCTCGGTGGAGCTCCCTATGGGGCCACGAAACGTGTGAGGCGTGTGCTGTGATAGTGGGAGGAGGGAGGGGGCAGAGGGAGGAAGGAAGGAGTGAACGCGGGGCGCTGTCTCTTCAAACCGAGGACCCAACACCACAGGATGATTTGGGGAAAAAGCACACACAAAAGAAAGAAAGAGAGAGAGAGAGAGAGAGAAACAAGGAACGAAAAGCCGCTGCACAGTCTCCCCATATGTAGTGCGCGGCATGCGTTTGTCATGGTGCGTGCGAGAAGACAAGAAAACACGACCACTTACACATCGAATCCCCGTGCGCCCCATGCTAAGTGTGCAAAGGGGGACACAGAGAGGGAGGGGGAAGAAAGAGAGAGAGAGAGAGAGACAGAAACATATAATGAATATCAGTAGGAGGATGAGTTTCCTCCATCGCCTGCCGCTAACCCTCTGCAGCTTTTTTTTCCAACGCTGTGTCCACTTTAGCAAGGAAAGCGCCGACGCCCATCTGCATATACATGTGTATACATATACGCATGTATCTGTAAGTATGTGTAAAATGCATGCCGGTGCACGCACGTGCCGTACATGTACATACGTAAACTGCAGACTGAAAACATGCACGCTCGCTTCGCGCGCACCGTAAAATTTTAGCCTGGACATTTGCTTTCCAAATTGTCATTCGGAACAGCTTGGGCGCTTGCGGAATTGGTTCGCTGGTGGCATATGGTTGGTTCCAGAACTTGCAAACCATCCGCGCCATAATGGAAGCACGGTGCACTGCGACCCCATTACTGTCGATTCCTCACACGGGGCCACCCCCTGCATGAACAACGGAGCTGCGCCCCCCATTCCAAACGCCCCCAAAGTGGCACCAGGGCTAACCCAGGATAGATGGACATGTGCCCCAAGTTGATAAGGGGCCAGAAATGATTATCTTTCGCTGGTCGGCAAGTAGATTTTAATTTACTGGCCCTCATGCCCAAATGATCGCTGATCGCGACGAGGCCGACATCTGCGCGACTCGACGCCAACTGTGCGAATCGACCGAGCTTACGATTTGAAGGAGCGCCCAGCACGGCGTGTCACGACAAGTGGACACCATGACCCGCCGCCTGCAGGAAACCCTTCAGGCGCCAATGGCGCTCTCTGGGCGGCCGGGGATTGCGGGGGTATCCACGTCGGCCTGAACGCGCCGAGTAGCGACCCCGGGCGTCCGGTGAAACCCAGATCCCCAATCCGTCGCCGAAACGTCTCCACGAGCTTCCTCATCGACGCAAGTGGGCCCAATAGCTTCACGGGGCCATCGGGGGAGCCAGTAGGAGAACCCGAGGAAGAGCGCGACAGGCCCCGAGAGACGCCCGACACGCCCTAGAGCGAGCCCCCCGCAGACGCACGCAACGAACCACTCGCATCCGCCCCGGACAAGGACGCAACCCAGACCCGCGACCGGTGAAATGAAAGATTCTGCGGTTTTGGCCGACCCAAAACAACAAAATTTCTCATTTCACCGATCCGGCCTGGCGGGGGTTCCAGGGGCGGACGCGGCGCGCGCCCTGAGGTGGCGGGCCGATCGACGCAGGGCCGCGTCCTCGCTTGAGCGCGCACACCGATCTGTGGCGCGGCGCGCGCAGTCCTGCGCCCGAGGCCTGCGGAAATTAACCGTGCGCATATTCGTTTGGGCATGAAGATTCCCATCGACATTGCCGGGCAGCCTTGAAATGCGCTCTGATTGAACGGGATCAAGCCGCGGCCATATAGGCACATCGGCCTCAATGTCTGTTCGGGGGCCGCTCGAATCAACCGAAGGGCCGTTGCATCACGCGCCGCGTCGCTTTCCATCAGTCAATGAAAATGCATCTACAGCGCGCGCGTCGTTCTCGAGGAGCCCAGCAGCATCTCGCGATGGTCGCGCTCGCTTGGCTTACGCAATCCAAGGAGGGAAACAAAGAGCGCGCCGTGTAATAATTCAATTCAGCGTCTGCGATCGAAAACCCAAACAACCAGTGACAGATCAATATTTATGGTCCCGAGCTGACGCCAAACTTACCTCAAACATGATACCCCTATTGCATCACGAAGGCACTGATATGGCTGCAGTGAGTTAGCATGGTCCCAACATGGCCTGAAGGAGATCCCGAAATGACCCTATGTAGAACCCATCGCTACATGAATGCGACAACGGAGTGGCACCAGCGCGTTGCCCAGAGCCTTGAGATAACCTCAAGAAGACACCAACATGGCCTCACATGAGCCAAGTTGACATCGACTACCGCACGCGGCGCATGGGTTTATACCGAACATGTATCATATTCCAAGACGGCCTCTTAGACACAGGGCCGCGAAGGCCCCCAAGCGGACCATAGGAGCGCCCCGACGAGGCCCCCGAGCCTACCGTCAGAGCCCAGCAAGAAGAGCCCCAGGATGTCTCAAGGAGGCCGCTGAAAGCCACTTGGTTCATTCACCATGTTCGCTGTCTCCCAGCGCGTATCCCGATGTCCCCCTTTTCCCCCGACGTCTCGCATGGGCAGCGTGTCTGGGTGAGCTGGCGGAGACACGCGAAGAGCCAAGAGGGCGGGACCTCTGATCCAGGAGTAGCTCCGGCTCGACAGGCGGCTCAATCGGGTCCGCAAGGGAGGCTCCGAACAGCCTCCGCATGCAAGTGGGAAGCTGCACTAGTCGCAGGTCGATTGGTCTCTCCGCGCTGGGAGTCTTTTAAAGCCCAGGCCACATGGTCGACCGACGGGCCCAGGACGGCGTCCATGAGAGCGTGGTTGTTCTCGGCTGCGTACCAGGCGCTGGCTAGCGGGCGTGCGACAAAGGTCGGCCCGGGGTGGTATACCTCGTAAGGTTCCCCGTCAACCCCAGGTGCACTGCCGCTGGGGCCGAGTACCAACGCGGCCATTCTGCCCCAAGTGGGCAGGGGGCTCTCTTTAACCAGAACCTGTCGGCCTCCCGTAAAGAGTGCGTCGAGCAGCCTTTGCGCACACTGCGGCGGTGGTGGTGCAATTTGCCAGATGCTCGCCCTGCTATCCCGAAGGGCCTGGTCGACTTCCTGAGCTTCATCATGCCAGGCGTTCTGGTCGTCGAGTACTCCCAGGAGAGAGAGAGAGAGAGAGAGAGAGAGAGAGAGCGCGCGCGCGCGCTCTCCTGAAGGTTTCTCTCCTGATCTTAGGGGGAAAACAAACCTACCTCGCTTTTGACCACCCTCGCTTCCAAGAGATACCAAGCGATGCCAAACTACGGCATGTACTGGTCAGGTCGCTTGACGAGGAGGCGCGTGGTATGACTTGGTTTTTCCTGGAAGCGAAAGCGGGGTAGGTAATTCACGCTCTGAGATCTGGAAGTGAGCGGCCAAGGGTACACCAAGGTTGCAGGGGAATGCGGAATGCGCAGCAGGCTGGGCAGGCCGGCTGGAACTGGGACCGGAACTGTGACAGAAGAGCACCCCTCAAGAACATGAGACCCTCAGCCGGCCAAACTGAAGAGCAGTCGGAGGTACAGTGAGGGCGTTGACCCAAGGAACCCTAAATAAGGAACGAGGCCCCTATTTTCCATAAGTTAAGCTTCGGTTTCGTATCGAAAACCTGAGGAAAATCTAAGGCAAGCTGCGAAACAATCAAGGAACACGGAGCCCCTCCTCAACGAAAAGGGTTCCTTCTTCAGGGCCCCGACTGTATGACAGAAGAGCACCCCTCAAGAACATGAGACCCTCCCGCCGGCCAAACTGAAGAGCAGTCGAAGGTACCCTCCCCCCCCAGGATGCACGAGAGCACTCCGCAAGCACGGAGAACATGGGGGCACCCTCCCCGAGCCGACACCGACCTTCTGAACCCGGGGAGACCGCAGGGGGGAGGTGGCTCCGCGGATCCCCACCGGCCCCGCCAGAAACCCCAGGAAGAGGTTAGCATACTCCAGATTTCGTAATAAAGGGAGGGGGGTCTCATTTCGGGGGGGGGTCTCTTCCAGGCTATCTTGGAGGGCCTGGGGGGTCTGGGGACGATGTTTTGGAGGGTTCTCCCAGGGGGGAGGTCTGAAATGGCTTATCTTGGAGGGTCCAGACCCCCTCCCTTTTATTACGAAATCTGGAGTACCCAAGGTCAGGGATCTTCTACCCGGGTCAATCAAGGGCTCCCAATTTCGCGCTCTCGCGCTGCGCGGAGCGCGAAGTGCGAACAACTTCGCGCTCTCGCGCCGCCTCCCAGGAGAGAAGAGGAGGATGAGGAGGAATCGGAGCCGAACCGCGAAGCGCGAATAACTTCGCGCCCTCGAGGGCGCCCTTGGTCAATCCAGACCCGGGTCCGTCAGGCCTTGCAGAATCCTGCAAGATCCTGCAAGATCCTGCACCCAAGCCCGGGTCAATGCGAAGGATCCTGCAAGATCCTGCAGGATCCTGCGCCCAAACCCGGGTCAATACGACCATGGCCCTGCAAGATCCTGCAAGATCCGGCGCTCTGGCTGACCCCCGTTTGCATTGACCCCCGTTTTGAGGCTCCCGACAAGGAGTGCCCTCTTGGGTCCCGGCGACGGTCGTATAGGACGGCCTCTTGAGAGCCCCAATACGTCCTCAACATGGATTCAGACTGCGCTAGGCGGTCGGTCCCGAGAGGGCTCGAAGACGGCGGCATGGGAGCCGAAGACGGCCAAGGTGCGCCAAAGACGGCCCAAAATGGTTCGGATACGTCAAGCACGTCGCTCTAGAGGGCCTCAGAGCGCCCACGGAGAACACCAAAAAGGCCCCCCAAAGTGCGAGCTGTTTCTCATGTAAGGCTCAGGGAAGTAAAACGCGAACTCGGTGTTCAAGTCTTCGGATCGGCCATGACAGGCGTGAAGGTAGCCAAGATCCCCAAAGATGGCCCGAAAAGCGCCAAAGAGAGCACCAAGAACGCCACATGACGGACCAAGAGGACGACGAGACATCCCAAGAGAAGCCCACGACTCCCCAAGAGGACCGAAGAGGCCCCAAGAAGGACACAAGACAACTCGAGAGGACCTCGAGAGTGCCCCAACACGTTCCGAGACAGCACAGCCCTCAGGGTCGCTATCACTGCTCCCAGACCCTACAAGTGACACTCAAATGCCCCAAGATGCCCAATCAGAGGCCTCACAGTGCCCAAGAGAGACCCAAGAAGGATCCAGCACGGGGCCAGAAGAGCCCCACGACAGACCCAAGTGTTTGGCCACACGCATGTCAGGGCCATACCTTTGCACCCGGGACATGGGCGCGCTGGAAACGAATGTGAAACACCAGTTTCCCTTCGCACAATGCCAGTCTCCCCCATGGGGCCAGCTGTGACTCTCGCAATGCGGTCCCAACTGTCGCAATCATGTTGAGGCCCGGACTCAGAGACAGACTCGTCCTCGCCCTCAACTTCCATTCACTCCTCCTCCTCTCCTCCTCCTCCTCCTCCTCCTCCTCCTCCTCCTCCTCCTCCCCCGCATCATAATTTTCCTCACCCTCCTCCTCCTCCTCCTCCTCCTCCTCCTCCTCCTCCTCTTTCTCTTCCCCACCCGCCGCCTCTTTCACTCCCTCCTCCTCTTCCACTCCCTCCTCGCCCCCGCCCTCCTGCCACTCGTTTACCCTCCATCGCCTCCTCCGCCGCTCTGCCGCCCCTCCTCCCTGCTCTTAAGTCGGGCCTGTCTCCCTACAGGCCGACTTCAAACGAAAAATAAAACATAGTCAACAAATACCCCAAACTACTCAAGAGTGGTCAAAACATCGTCCCCAGACTATGTTTGGACTATGTTTGAATATTCCTCCTGTAGAGGGACAGGCCCGACCTAACCCTGCTCCTCTCCTCCCGTATCTTCCCCCCCCCTCCCGCCGTTGCCCGCCCTGCGGCCCGTGCGGACGGGGGAGTGGGGGACAGCCAGGAGAGCCCAGAACCGAATCGATAAATCGGATCGGCAATCGACATGAATCGGATCGGCGAAAAATCGGCAGTCGAATCGGGAAAAGTCGAATCGGCGGAAATCGGCAGGCTAGTATGCCTCCAATAAGAAATCGGACCCCAAATCGGAATCCGAAATCGAATCGAATCGGAATCGGAATCCACCGAAATCGAATCGAATCGAATCGGAGGAATCGAAACGAGCCCTGACAGCTGTGTGGGCTGGTGGTGGTCCAGACCTTGTATGAAGGGGCCCTGGGGCACACAAATAAAGACACACAGATAGCAGGATGCCCCACATTTTTCTCTCAGATGTTCTGCGCGTTTGTCTTCCCAGCCACTTCCCATATTGTCCCATGTCTTCCTGGGAGTCGACGACTAAGTGTGTCTGTGTGTGTGTTTTCCCCTTCCTGACTTGTATGTGCCAAGAGCGACCCCTGTCAGATCACATAACACGTAAGTTGCGCTCCAGCAGGGGACAGCAAATGAGACAATTACAGGTGCCACCCTGTGGTGAAGATGCGAGACACGTGGTATTGTCAGAATTCGAAACAACAGGTCAAACCCAGCGCTGCAATGATACCAACTGCGAATCGGCAAGCGCTGCAGGGAGCGCTAGCCCGAACAACGCCAAACGGCTCTGCTGGGCCAAGCTTCGACGCCGTCGCCCGCGCCCCCACAATAACGTCGTGAGATGCCGGGGAGCCATACTTATAGTCCGTGCAATACGCTGGGGCGCACTTGTGGCCGTCTTTCATGCACTGTGGCGGCGCTTCCTTGTAGATCCCCTCGTTATCGAACTTGCTGTTGACCGTGTGGTCTTCTCCAGTCATGTTGAACCAAGTCATCATGCCCAAGTCTTCGTGGTAAAGAACATGGCAATGCATGACCAAAGCGCCAGAGTAGCAATCCGTCTGAAACCTCACCGTCGCGTTGAAATCTGATCCAGGTAACTGCATGAGCGGCATGTGATCTGGCCAATCTCCGAACGGCAACTGGAACACGTCCTGGAAATCGCCAACGTCGAAGTAGCCCCCCCAGAGCTCGTAGTAGTCCGCGAAGCCGTAGGAGTACACCTCCGCAGGATTGACGTGCATGTGCCAGGAGTGCCCGTCGATGCCGAGCATCTGCACCTGGACGACCTCCCCCACCGGGAAGGACGCGAACGGGTGGGCCCCGTGGAACGTCTTGTTCTGGATCGAGTAGCGGATGGGCTGCAGCACGTACGCGGAGGGCGCGATCGGATCGCCCGTCGGACTGCCGAACGGACTTACCTAGGGGAACGAAGAATGACATAAACATACAGTCGGGGCGTTGACCTAAGGAACCCTAAATAAGGAACGAGGCCCCTTTTCCCCATAAGTTCAACCTCGATTTCTTATGGAACACCTCAGGAAAACCCGAGGCAAACTTTGAAACAATCAAGGAACACCGAGCCCCTCCCCAACGAAAAAAAGGGTTCCTTCTTCAAGACCCCTACTGAAAAAACTCGGAGGTCCGCGCCGCTGCTTTCCCGGATCCGCGTTGGATGCCCCCTCCCCGGCGCGCGGGGCGCGCCGGGGGCGGCGCCGGAGGCGCCGCCAGGGGGGTCCAGCGCGGATGCGAGAAATCCGCGCGGACCTCCGAGTCTTCATGTTTATGTCATTCTTCGTTCCCCTGGTTCGGCAGTGGGCATACCTCTCTTGAGTAAACCTCCCCTTCATGAAGACGGCCCGGGACCGAAACCGACGGACCAGGACCCGCAAACATGACGGCCGCGACGCCCTCTCGCGAGCCGCAAACGGCCAATTCCTGAATCGACGTGTCGGGGTAGGAGGTCTGTCCGCCCCCGACGGTCACCGCTCCGAACTCGTTCGTCATGGTCTTGCCGTCGGCCTGGACGTCGGGGACGTTGGCCTCCAGCGGCCTGCCGTTCTCCCAGTTGACCGAGGGCTCGGCCCGGGGCGCGTAGAGCTCCTCTCGGGGTGGCCCAGGAGTGACGAAGCAACAGCACACACCCATACCCACAGGGGGGTCGGAGAAGGCTATGGGTGCGTGTTGTCGGATGGGGGTCCCCGCTCGAACAGGAGCGTTCCCCAGGGTCCGACAACCCGCACCCAAACCCATGGCCAGTCCTCCTCCCAACGACCCCCCTATGGGTATGGGTGTGTGCTGTTCGTTCGTCAAAAAGGGGGTCCAGCTGCAGGGGGGTGGTGCAGCAGATTGGGGGCAAGTGTCTTGCAAATGTACTGCGCTGGAGAACTGTATCGCATTGTAGTGCAACGGATGCATTGCACACGAAAATCCAACACTTATATATATATATATTATATATATATATATATATATATATATATAAATATGCCACGGAATGTATGGCGCGCCCAACGTGTATTGCAACCCCACGAATATATTGGCAGGAAGGTCAAGCCGACAATTTAGCGATAATTCCTGGTTGCCTTTTCTGGCATCGCCGCTATAATGATGTTATTCGTTATCCTTCCTCCATGCTTATTGTTCCTTAGTTTCGCCATCCCCTGCGCATTCTCCCCATCCTCCTCAGCTCTTTTTTGCGGAGGATCCTCCTTGGAGAGCCTCTAGGGGCCTCACAAAAATTGTTTCAGGCTTTCTTAACGCCTTCTGGAGGCCTCCTGGGCGTATTCTGGGGGCCTCTGGGGGCTTCCTCGGGCCACCCTGCCTCCAACCGCCGTCTTCCTGAACGACCGAAACACGATTTGGAATTCTTCGGAGGGTGTCTTTGGGCCATCTTGGGCCGCCATGGGGCTCTCTGAGGGCCATCTTGGACCAATGTTGTGCCGTTTTGGGGCTCTCTTTGACTGCCTGGAAGCGAGCCTCCCAGGCGGCTTCGGACGCCCAGAAGACCGCCGTCTTGGAGCGTCGGGAAGCCGAAAATAAAAGAACCCCAAAATTCACAAATAACCCGCAGAAAATCAATGATTTTTGCCTCGGGGGGCCTTCTTGGGAGTGCTCTTGGAGGCCTCTTTGGGGCCGTCCTGGAGGCCTCTTGGGCCATCTTGAGGTCACGTCGGTCACTCTTGGAGCGCTCTTGTGCTGTCTTGGAGGTCTCTGGGACGTCTCCGATGACCCCCCTGATCGCCCTAAGTGTGCCGGGAAGGCTTGGCAAAACGCCTTGCGAGGCCCGGTGGCCGCTTCGAGGCCCGTCCGGAGGGCCCCAAAACCCCAGGTCCCGGGAGTCCAGTTTTGGGGGGGGGGTGATGGGTGTTCCCCCCGCCCGGGCTTATAAAACTATAGGAAGAGGAATATATATATATATATATATATATATATAGATTGCATCAAATCTATTGCACCACCCGCTTCTCGCTGGACCCCCTCTTGGGTCAGCCCGATCCTCGGGGGTGAGAGCCAGGAGGCTGTGCAGGTACCGCGGGGGGGAATAGACCGTCACCTCCGGCTCCTCGAGGGCCGCGGAGCCCCCGGGCGGCGCCTCCACCGTGACGTACAGCAGGGTCTGCTTCCCGCCTATGCTTAAGTCGGGCCTGCCCCCCTACAGGGGGGATGTTCGACGAAGACATGTTTTAAAAAAACCTAAAAAAATGCACCAAAGAGGTAAAACATACACCAACCATAGTACCCAGACTATGTTTGGACAATGCTTTGACTATGTTTGGGGGTATCTTTTAATTTTTCGTCGAACATCTCCCTGCAGGGGGACAGGCCCGACTGAAGCCTATGTCGCTGGGGCTGTAGGCGGACTGGGGGACGTTGTTTCGCAGCTGGAAGGAGCCCTCCTCCCAGCAGCGCATGATGACCTGGCACCGAGACCCTGCGCCCAGGAACAGTCCCCGCCGGATCTCCCTCGGGTACTTCTTGAGCCAGGCGCTGTCCTTTGCGATCAGCCTCATCTCGCAGGGCGCCTCCCTGCCGTCGGCGGTCCTGTTGAACACGACGTTGACGGGGAAGTTATCGCCAGCCATTATGAAGCGCATGCGATACCACTTGCCCTGATGAATCTTCATGGTAGGTGAATATTGGCCATTCACTGTGAACGCGGATCCGATAGGATTGATCTCGCCCTGCTTGTATCCAAAGCCGTTCGCATACTCCATCTTATACAGCCTGTCGCCAGAGGCATTGGCCACCAGGCCTGCCCGGATAGCCACCCCGCATAGAGCTGTGTATCTGCTGTTGAACGGGAAACATGCCATATTCTGATCCTGGGGGGCGTATTTGAGGAACGAAGGGCCGAAATATCCCCACTGCGCCTCGTGAATGATGACCACCTGTTCCGGCATCGAGGAAATCCAATCAGGCGCCTCACCAGGAGAATCGTCGATGATCAAAGCGCCGATCATCCCGCCACCAGTCTGGAGCATGGTGGTTCCGTGCAGGTGCCCATGGTACCAACTGGTGCCTGAGGAATGGTACGGCGAGAGCTCGTAATTGTACGTGTATGTCGTGCCCGGCTCGATCCTTGTCGTGAGGACTTCGTCCTGGGGGAGGAGCCCGGACACGTGCCAGCCGTGCACGTGCAGGTTGGTGGCATTCGGCGTGTGGAAGTTGTTCTCGTGCGCCTTCATCATGGTCGGGTCGTGGGGGTCCTGGCCGACGTTCTGGTAGTACCACTCGCCGACCGGGGCGCCCATGGGATTCTCTGGGTTCCCTTGGCCCTCGCGCCTCTGAAAGTAGGTGTCGTCGGGCACGTCGGGCCCCAGGCTGTTGACCAGGTGGACGATCACGCGGTCGCCCCGCATTACGCGCAGCGTGGGCCCAGGATATGTTCCATTGTACAGGCGCGTCCTCACGCGGATGCCCATGGCAGGCAGCTCGATCCAGCCCCAGGTCAGCTCGATCGTGGTCTCGAGCAGGCCGTCGACGGCGCTGACCTCCACTGGAGTGTTCAGCGGCTCCGCGTTCATCGCGGCCATGTCCGCACCGTTCCACTGAGACTTCGTCTGGTACACGGCCTCGTCGCCCGCCACCTGGGGAGGCTCCTGAACGCCCTGGCCCTCGAACGGGCTCAGGGAGCCGGGCTGCGCGCCGGATCCCCGCCCAGCCACTAGCGAGAGCTCGCGCTCGATCTCCGCAATGTAGGCGGGGTCCATGGGGTCGTACCACTCCAGGGCTGCCGCCTTTGGCGGCGCGCAGAATGATCGAGCCAGCTAGGTCATGGTAATGATAAGATCTGGGATCTAGAAAAACGGCCCCGGGTTCAGAAAATCCGGTCATGAATTCAGTATTCCAGTTTCTGCGTTTACCGAAGGATGGTCTGTCTTGTGTTGATCAGGCGGCGCGCGCTGTAATACATCCGTTTCTTCTCCCTCGTTCGTGAATCGTCGCTTTACCAAGAACTTGTTTGAACAATGCGCGTTCATTCACGACCATGCCCTAGGCTAGCCGGCGAACAAGAGGGGGGAGGGAGGAGAAGGAGGAGGAGGAGGAGGAGGAGGAGGAGGAGGAGGAGGAGGAGGAGGAGGAGGAGGGGGAGGTGGGGCGATGGGGGGGGGAGGGAGGGGACCAGCACCCTTTTGAGGGCAGGGGGCCTCCCAGAGAGGGCGCCCCCCCCGTCCTCACCAGCCCCCCCCCCCCCCCGCGCCTTTGCCAGAGGAGAGGCGGTGGCCCTCTCACGGGGTCCGCCCGCCATCGCCCCTGCCGGAGGCAGAACATTCGCCTGGCGAGGGGGCCCAACCCAATGCTGCGGCGAGTACAGTCGGGGCGTTGACCTAAGGAACCCTAAATAAGGAACGAGGCCCCTTTTTTTTTCTCCATAAGTTAAACCTCGATGTCCTATCGAAGACATAAGGACAACCTGAGGCAAGCTGCGAAGCAATTAAGGAACATGGAGCCCCTCCCCAACGAAAAGGGTTCCTTCTTCAGCGACCCGACTGTACCGCGAGGGCAAGGCGACGATGGAGGGGGGGCAGCAAAAAGGACTGCGGCGTGCACGAGGGGGAGAAGAGCTGACGCGGGCGAGCAGGGAGTCGTCTTTGCTTCGCCCGAGCCCCGTGCATGGCCCGTGCGGTGCGGACGCTGCCCGCTGGGGCCTTCGGTGGAGCTCCCCATGGAGGCCACGGAACGTGTGAGGGGTGCGCCAAAATGGGGCAGCGGCTTAGTGGGCCCTGGAAACGACAGGGCCGTTTTTTTACCGGTTCCGTTTTGCTGTTTTTTTACCGGTTCCGACGCCGTTTGTTTACCGGTTCCGTCGCCGTTTTTTTACCGGTTCCGGCTCCGGTTCCAATCCTGGAGCCGTTTTTTGGCCGCTTCCGGTCGCCGTTTTTTTTTTTCGTTTCCATTTTCAATGGGCATTTTTCTGGAAACGGCCCTGCCGTTTCCGGGGCCCACAAAGGGCAGCGGTGCCATGCGGACGCCCCCAGTGGGGCCTTCGGCGCAGCTCCCTATGGGGGCCACGGAACGTGTGAGAGGGGTGTGCCGAAATGAAAGGCGGCGGTGCCATGCGGACGCTCCCGCTGGGGCCTTCGGTGGAGCTCCCTATGGGGCCACGAACCGTGTGAGGGTGATGCCAAAATGTGGCGGCGGTGCCATGCGGACGCTCCCGCTGGGGCCTTCGGTGGAGCGCCCTATGTGGATCATGACGATGGCGATGATGACGACGCTGATGGCGATGCCGATTACGATGACGAGGCGGATGGGAGGAGGGAGGAGGGGGAGGAGAAAGGGGGCAGCGGGGGGGTGAGGTGAGGTGAGACGCGGGGCGCTGTCTCTTCAAAACGCGGACCCAACACCACAGGGTGGTTGGGGGAAAAAACGATGCCGATCGAGGGGCGAGGAGCGTGCAGAGATGCCTACGAGACGAGGCGGGACACTGCCCATAACCACCACCCTCGCCATCGCTCGGACGTCCATTCCCTGTGCTTTTTTCGGTTTCGTGCGTGGTTGTTTTGCCAAATGATCGAGGATGCTCCTCGATGGTCCTCGCCGAAGGAAAAAATGCACGCGTCCGAGCGATGCCAAGCACCTGTGCAATCCACCCTCGGGGAACACGGCAAGCGTTGGATATGTCTGCCCCCCCAGGGTACGCATTTAGTCGTGCCCACCGCTTCGCGCGGTCCCCGAAGATCGATGCCCCGTGCGGTGGTTACAATTACAATCCAGCCAACAATATTTTCAAACCACTCGTCACCTAAGAAATCTGGGCCAGCTTCCCGGAAGTTTCTTGAAACTCACCTGGGCCAGGTTCTGTTGTCAACGCTGGAGGGCGAACGTGCTCGAGAAACTGAGGCAAGTTTCCAGCAAGTTGGCCAAGAAACGCTGGCCCAACTTTTCGAGAGAAGGTTTCGTGATTAGATGCTCGACCGCATGGGTAAATCCCCGCCGGGGAGTGTCGGCAGCTGTTCTTCCAAAGGGGGGGTGGAATGGCTCAACGCGGGGAAACACCGAACTGGATTCAATGATACGTCGCCGATAGATCCGCAATAGGCCCCAACATCGAAACCGCAATTTCATGAGCGGAATGGGCTATCGGACCCTGTCGGCGATAAATCGGCGATCGGGGGTCGAAGCGTCCGCCTCTGAGCCGATGGTCCTTGCCATTCGTTGTTCGGGTCATAACTCGGGTATCCGGCGGCCGTTCGGAACGATTCTGGCACCCTGGGGAGCTTTCTCTCGCCATCGCTCGGACGTCCATTCCCTGTGCTTTTTTCGGTTTCGTGCGTGGTTTTTCCGCCACATGGTCAAGGATGCTCCTCGATGGTCCTCGCCGAAGGAAGAATGCACACGTCCGAGCGATGCCAAGTTCTCGACAAGGTGCAACTGATGGAAGCCGCCGCGAGGTCCGGGAAGTCCTGCAACAAATCGAAAACACATCGGAAGCTTTCGGACGCTTCCCCGCTGCAGCCTACGCTGCCCGTCCTGAGCCTGCATCCCCCCCCCTACGGTCGGGAATGTGTGCTTAGCATGTCGCGGCGGCGGCCCTGGCGACACGCTATGCCTTGCGAGCGGATGCGGGGCACGAGGCGGGGAAAAAACGCGGGACGTCGACGCCGGGGTATCAGAAATGGACCAGCCTGTCGCGCCGCAGCGCGCTGAGCCAAAACGGGCGGAAGGACACGCTGAGCGAAAGTTCCTGAACCTGGTGGGTTTGTTCTCCACCGCCCGCCACCACCAGAAGCAGCAGGGGGGAGACGTCCTCCTCCTCTTCTTCCTCTTCTTCCTCATTCCTCCTCAGCGTCCACCTCATTCCCCCCTCCAACTTAGGGTCGCGGTGGTGGAAAACAGGCCCATCATGGCCGTAACCTCCCCCGCGGCTCCCCTCTGAACCTTCCTGCCCTAACGTTTCCCCGCGTCCCCACGTGGGCCGACCCTCCCCCGAACTTTGCCACTGACCCGTCGCCGTCGGCGCGTGTTCTTCGTTGGCATCGCCCTCGTCGTCACGATTCGCGGCTGCTCTCGCGACCGTTGGCCCCCCCCTTCGGCTACGACGCCGTCGACGTCATTGTTGTCGGCCTCTTCGTCTCCGTCTTCCCGCGCGCACGCTAAGATGGACTCGGGGCACGGGGATCACATGCACGGTCGCCACAGCCCCGAGAAGCGCGCAAACGCCGCCCGAGAAGCGGAACGATGGCGATCATGAACGATTTTTGGTTGAGGAGGCTGCGTTGGTATGCCATATGCAACCAGAGAACGAAGAGCCAGAAGCGATCTCCCTGTGGCAGCGAAGTCGGGCAAGTAACATACTCACGTCGTCCAAGGGAACGTCGTTGAAGCAATACCTGTGGCCACGGCCATCATCAGGTAGTACGGGCCGCACATGGCCGAAATGGAAGGACGTGAAATGCGCGGGAGCGCGGAGTCTGAATCTCCCGCCACCCCCCGAAACAAGAAACAGTGACCACGACGTCGAAGTACTTCCGAGGCCGCGGATTGAGGAAGATGCAAGGGCGCCCTCCCCTGAGGTTCTCGCACTACAAGCGGAGCCCGGTGCGATTGCGTTCCACGCCCCAGCGGGTCAATGGACGGCAATTTCCGCAGCATCGTATCTTTCGACATGTTACCCCGCCCCCAGAGACCATTGCTGATTTGCATAGCGAGCAACTAAAGCAGCTCGCAGTACTCGTCACCTGGTTCACCATTGGGGCGGTCGAAGCAGGGTTGCCTCACCTGCGCGTTCGTGATGGCGACGCACAACTCCATCCAATGTTCCCTGTCGTCCAAGCACTCGCATTGCGGGAGAAAGAGAGCAATGGGGGGGCAGTGCTAGGATCGAAGGCAAAGCACTGAAGACCCAAGCAGTCCGCGCAGGCGTGGTCGGGGGTCGCGCCGTCAAAGACAAGGCAAGAGAAAGGATGCGATCGTCACAGGCTGTGGCACGATGCCGCAGCGGAAGAAGGTTTATCAGAGCATTGAACACGACTGGAACAATCTTCTGGTATCTTGCATTGAGGGATGCGGTCAGGCGTTTCCGCCTGGCTGGTTCAGGGCACCTTTCGTCGGGCATGCAAGTAACCTCATGCCCGTGAGAATAAACACTAGGGGATAATAAAGTCCGGGGTTCAGGGAGAGATAATAAAAGTAGCCCAGCAGACCTCAGCATAATCTCGAAGTAAGAGATGATCAAGAGGAGACCAAGCCGAGCACGTTTTGAGACATCCTTGGCGTTTAGTTTTCATAGAAATATCCTCAACAATGGCTTATCTCTCATGAAAACTGTTTTTTGTAAGTGCTCGTGTAGGGTAGCTCATGTGCCTCAACTTCCATGGGTAATCAACCCCAGGGATAAAAAAAGTTCAGGCGAGCGTGGGGACAGAGAGAAATATAAAAGAAGGAGAACACAGTAGAAGAATAATAAGAAAGAAGAAGAAGAGGATAATAAGAAGAGGACGAATAAAGGAAAAATCCAAAGTTCCAAATCGATCAATTTTAATTTACAAACGCTTTATGAAAATTGTTTTTTAAGTGCTCGTGTAGGGTAGCTCATGTGCTTCATTTTCCATGGATAATCATACCCCTGGGATAAAAGAAAGTTCAGGCGAGCGTGAGGACAGATAGAAATATAAAAGAAGAAGAGGAAAGTAGAATAATAATAAGAACATCGCTTGATGTTGCTATCTCAACATAGCGTTTCGAGGTGATAATGAAGTTCGGCCTCAGCGCTCGCCGCCCAATTTGAATTTTGTATAGGGCGACGATAATCAACTCTAAACACTGAAGGGGGGGGGGTCCCTTTATTATCATCGGCATGCGGTTAGTGGGCCGCCGCAGGGCAACTCCCGTCTGGCTCGCTTTCAAGCTCCACGGGCGCAGCGCGCGACTTGCGGAGGCCGCTCCTTCGCCGGCCCAGGGGGGGGATCGAGAGGCCACCCCCCGATGCCCCCGCGCCTCGCAGGAGCCGTACAGTCGGGGCGTTGACCTAAGGAACCCTAAATAAGGAACGAGGCCCATCCTTTCCCATAAGTTAAATTTCGATTCCCTATCGAAAACCTTGGGGAAACCTGAGGCAAGCTGTGGAACAATCAAGGAACACCGAGCCCCTCCCTAACGAAAAGGGATCCTTCTTCAAGACCCCTATTTACAGTAGCAGGCCGTGGTCTCCTTGTCAGACGCGACGAGCTCAGCGCGTCGCTGATAACGCAGCGCCGCGCAGAAAACAACGACCGTGTGGCGGACGGCCGCTCGACCAAATGTCGCCTTCCGGCGCTTCCATAAGTGGCGCGTGCCCACTGCGAAACTTCGCAGTCCTGATTCATGCTGCCTTACTGCGGGATGACGATTAATAAAACAAAGGGGGGAGAACGATTAAACAAATAGTTTTCTGCTAGTTCTGCACACTTTTCTGACTGGAGGAGAACGATTGAAAACATAGTTTTCCAGCCCGCAGCCGGTTTTTTCTAATCGTCATCCCGGGCGCCGCCGCGTGAACACGACCCCCGGTCATTTATCAATCGTCATCCTCCATTACATGCACCCCAATATATCAACCTTTGTGAGCCAGAGGATGAAGTGGGCAGGGCTGACGCGCGAGCCCGAGGGTTGACGGGGCATGGCTGCTCCAGAAGAACAGCCATGAAAAGGGCCCACCTGCCGGCGATCCTCAGCAAGCCTTCTTTCCAAGCAATCCATCACGCGCCCAGCATGAACGGCCCCGAGGCGGGGCATGCCCATCGGAGGGTTTGTAAAGCACCTTGCGTGAAAGAGTGGGGGGGGGGCAAGAAGCTCCCGCGAGCGCTGTGCGTAATGCCGCCAGGCTGTGCGCGCCAGCGAGGCCGCGGCGTGCAACTGTCGTTGCAGTGCTGGTGGGTGGACGGCGCGCCGGCTCGGCTAGGCATCACAAGTGGCCTCGAATTTAACGAACGGGTCTCCTGGATTGCGACGCCTTGGGACTGCCATCGACGAGGGGGATGCGCCGTGAGGATGGACGTTCGGAACGAGAAGGTCAGCTTTCCCAGCGGCAGGACAGGCGGGCAAGTGGAACTGCTCGACGCGCCGGCAAACCTCGGCAACGACGCCACAATCAGCCCGCGGGTGGCCTTTCAGCGCAACGTCGCCGATCGACCACCCGGGGAAGTAATATGTAGTCAGAAGCGGGTGGGTGTCGAGACTGATGGTTGACCCTGACCTCGGTTCGTCGACTTCCAGATAGTTGCGTGCGTCTTGGATTCGTCATCCACGTCCTCGGCCCGCATATGCTCGACGTCCGCGTCGGCGTTGGATGTGAGAACGCGTGGCGTCAGGGGCAGCGGGAAGCTCCGCGTCGGAAGTAGAGCTGATGCAACCGTCGCCCATAGCACCAACTTGTAGAAGTTCGTCACCTTGCTGCCTCGCTGAGCTGATGGGCAGGAGCGGCTGCTCCGACGACGCGAAAGTGCTGTGCTCGAAGATCGGCTGCCAAGCAGAGGTAAACGCGAGCGCGTGGCCGGCTGCTTGCTAGCCAACGGAAACCCAAGCCCCCCCCGCGGAAGCGAAGACTGATTTCCTCCTTGAGGGCCCCTGTCCAGGCCGAGCCCGCGCGAGCAGTGCTCTGGCATGCTCGAAGGGCTCATCAGAAAGATGCCGCGCCTCATAGCATATATCTCGCGCGAGCAGTTGGCGCTCGCGGGCGCCAGGGCCCAATGCAGCGCCGCGAAGCGGCTCGATGATCCCGCGCCTCAGCGCCCCGTCCAGATCGCGCGAGCACCACCTGCTCCTGATCCCCCCCCCTGATTTCACCCTCCCCTTAACGTTGCCCCTCGCCCTCCCCTCCTCATAACGTTACCCCTGACCCCCTAAGCCTCCCCTCCCCCCCAAACGTTACCCCTGACCCCACCCCTCCTCCCAACGAAACCCGACGCACACACGCACGCACACAAACACAAACACGCACGCACGAACGCACGCACGCACGCACGCAAGCACGCACACACAAACACACACACACAAACACACACACACACATACACACGCACACACGCACGTACGCACGCACGCACGCACACACGCACACACGCACACACGCACACACGCACACACACACACATACACACTGAGCCTTCTCTCCCTCTACACAGTTACCCCTCTGACCCCCCCTCCTCGTAACGTTCTCCCTCCAGCTCGCCGCTGCGCCCCCCCCCCCCCCCCCCCGCGGCGCTTGCTGCCGCGGCCGCGAGGCGCTGCCCTTCCCCTTCCGGCGGCTGTGCAGCTGGACCGCCGCCACGCCATCCTCCGAGGCGGGAGCGAAACGACAGAGGGGGTCCAGCTCTCTCCACCTCCTCCTCCTCCTCCTCCTCTTCCTCCTCCTCTTCCTCGCTCTCCAACCTCCAGCCTCCTCCTCCAGCCTCATCATCCTCGTCCTCCAGTCTCCAGCCTCCTGCTTCCTCATCGTCACCCTCCTCATCGTCCTCCAACATTAAGCATCCTCCCTCATCCTTCCCATCCTCCTCTTCCTTTCCTCCTCGTCGTCCTCCTCCTCCTCCTCCTCCTCCTCCTCCTCCTCCTCCTCCCCATCCTCCATCCTCATCCTCCTGCTCCTCCTCCTCCTCTTCCTCCTCCTCCTCCTCCTCATGCTGGGCACCGCCTGGTGCAAGCATTGGTCTTCCTGCGCACCATAAGCACGGGTGGGTGGCGCAAGGTAGCCCTGCTCGCCACGCACGTCCTCGTCCACTTTCGCTCCCCTCCACCCTCCTCCCCCACCCCCGAGGGGGAACGATAGCTGAGCACTGGTTCAAAGAACAAACGGCGACCTGGTGGCGATCCATCTCCGATACATCGGCGAGAAGCTATCGGGGGCACAACTGGGCCTTCCTGGGCGGGGTGGACTATCATGCCCCTATGGGCGATGAATGGGCGATGGGGGACCGATGCACCCCCCTTAGCCAGTCCCAATCCTGACTCGGCGGCGAGACCTGGGGGGAAACGAGGAGAAGATGGGGAAGCCAAAAGGTACCGATAACGATACTCCCAGGCTCGGACCTTTTCCGGGGTGCGTTCAGACTAGGGTTTCGAGGAGAAGCCACAGCTGGCTTAGCCAGCTGTGGCGACGAGGGCCTCCGAGGCGGCCCCCAAAAGGAAAAACGAGGGACGGGTACCTTTTCCTCCTCTGAGGAGAAGGCCTTCTCAGAAGGCTCGGAAGCCCCAGGCCTGCTGACAATTGTTCTAAACCCTGCCCGAAGATAGAAATCCAATCGAACGACCCGAGGGCTTCTGAGGAACCCGGCGCCGCTCTCCGAGAGGGCCTCCACCTTGTCACTTCCCACCCTCGGTCGCCGCCGGCTACCGTGGGACAGAGGTGTCAGATCGAGGTCGGTTCGGGGGGGGGGCACCCCAATGCTCTTCGCGCTTGTGGGATGCTCTCGGGCATCCTGGGGAGAGCACGGCAATTCTGCTCGTTTGGGCCGCTGGAGGGCCTCGCGCTCTTGAAGGAGAATAGCCAAACGCACGGCACAGACATAAACTTGTAGCGTTCCCGGCGGCTTGCTTGGACCTGCGCTGGACCCTTCTCCCTGCCGCGCGGAGCGCGCCGCGGGGAGGGGGCGCACCGGGGGCGCCCCGAAGCCCTCGCGGAGTGCTAAAAGTTTATGTTTCGCAGCTGTTGCGTCTTCGGAATACGCGAGGTCTGACCTTTGTGGGCCCCGGAAACGGCAGAGCCGTTTTTTTCACCGTTCCCAAAAAAAATGTCCCTTGAAAAGGGAAAGCGCAAAACAACGGCGACCGGAGACGGCAAAAAAAAACGGGTCCAGGATTGGAGCCGGAGCCGGAACCGGTCAACAAAACGGCGACGCAACCGGAAAAACAACGGCGTCGGAACCGGCAACAAAAACGGCAAAACGGAGCCGGTAACAAAAACGGCCCTGTCGTTTCCAGGGCCCACTATAAGGGTCTGACTGCGACGTTGCCCCCGATGCTTGGCATGAGCGGGCCAGGTCCTGCGGTAGACGGGCCCTGGGCCCATGAGCCCTCCCACAGGACCACCTCTCCCTCTCGAGCTGGTTTCGGGGGACGCTCTGGCCCGGGTCCGTCCAAACCTGGGTCGGTCGGGCCTCGCAGGATCCTTCAAGATCCTGCAGGATCCTGCGCCCAGGCCTGGGCCAGTGCACCCCTGCCAAGGTCCGGTGCTCTGACTGGCCCCCGTTTGCACTGACCCCTGGCTCTTGAGCTCCGAGCTGGTTCTCTTGGGCGGCCCCCGGGCCCCTGGGGAGGGTCCTTGGCAGCTCGAGAGCAGGTGAACACGTCGGGACCCCAGCCGCCTCTTCGATGGCAGCTCGTGGGAGCCTCCCATACCATGTTGTCGGCTGTCGGCTCTTGCGAATCGAAGCTGATCGACGCTAGTCGACGCTAATCGACGCTAAATCGACGCTAGTCGACGCTAGCCGACGCTAAATCGGCGTTATCTCATCGACTCCCAGACGCTAATCGACGCTAACCGACGCTAAAGACGGAATTGAAAGGATACACTAGGCTCCCATGATTTGCTACCGAGCGCCCCGATACGCCGCACGCAACCCGCAGCGTCTTGACACGGAGCTCAACCCGCAGACCGAAAACGTAGGTCTGATGCGATGCGTTCGCCAAAACGTGGGCCAACGCCTGCTGAGCCAACGCGCAACGTGTCCGCACAGACGTTCTGAACGCCGCACGCGTTGCGCCTCGCGCTTCAAAGCGGGCGCATCAGCGCAGGTGAGCTCAGGACCCGTTCCCCACCTAGGCTTAAGTCGGGCCTGTCCCCCCAAAGGGGGATTTTGAACGAAAAATATATGATACCCAATAATGCGCAAAAGATGCCCAAATATACTCAAAAAATAGTCCCCTGACTATTTTGTTGACTGGACTGTTTTTTTGGAAAATCCCCCCTGTAGGGGGACAGGCCCGACTTAACCCTAGGCGTCGTTCCCTGGGGCCACCTACTCGTCCGAAATGCATCTCTTGATGGCCGCGTGTTCCGATCACGGGCCCCAGAGGCCGACATCCACGAAAAGCGCCCGGGCCGGAAACTCGGAATTTGGGTGGACCGAACGGTCCTCGGGAGCGGCCAAAAGGGGGGTGTCCAAAAGGGGGGGTGCAAATCATGGCCGGCGGCACGTGCGCGGCCCAGCGGGGAGGCCAGGGACGTAGTGAAAGAAGAAGAGGCGCCATGAAATCTGGCGAAATATCATGGCCCACGCCATGATGTCCACCCCCCCCTAATCATCACCCCCCTCTTTGCCGCCCCCGAGCGGTACCGATGCCGCTACTGCCCGGGGCCTCCCCTGGGATGCGTTCTGCCCAAAACTTCGAAGCGAATCCGGCGGCGCCGACGAAGGCCTCCCACGAGGCGCAAACATAGAAACAACGAGGGAAGGGTATCAGAATGGATACCTCTTCCTCCTCTGAGTATCTTCGGGGGTCTGGGCTCATGGCCCATTTTCCCTATTGGAATAAGACGAAACGCCATAACCGAAAGTCTACGGTTGTGACATTTCTTCGTCTTGTAATGCAGGCGTCGTTCCTTGTTCCAGCGGCGGGCTCGGAAGTCAACCCGGCCCCCCGCGCAGTTGCCCGAACCTTCCCCGCAGACGCAAACAAAAAACTTCTCGGGAGGCCAGATGGAGTCCGAGAAGCCCCGCCGCTATTCTGGGAAGGCCTTCTCCTCCTCGCCTCACCCCCCTCGGGAGCGGCAGAGAGGGGGGTGTCCAAGAAGGGGGGGTGCAAATCATGACCAGCGGCACGTGCGCGGCCCAGCGGGGGGGCCAGGGACGTAATGAAATAAAGAGAAGCGCCATGAAATCTAGGGAGATACTTACGCAGGCCGAAAGATTTTCCTCTTGAGCCCCACATGTCGGAAGCGACGCGCCGTTCAGGTGATCGGATAAATTTAGCGCTCGCTTCGAGGCGGGGTAGATATGTTATGGGTGGAGATGCGGGAGTTGGCCGGGCCCGCTGTGGCGTTCGAGCAAACTTATGTTATGGGAGGATGTTCGGGAGATGGCCATGCCCGCGGTGGCGCTCGAGCAACCACATGTTATGGGAGAAGTGAAAGGAGGTGGCCGGGCCCGCTGTGGCGCTCGAGCTTCCGACTGGGACACTTTGCTTGTGTGTCCTCGCCCTCCCTCATCCTTTCCTCTCCTCCTACTCCCACTTCCCCCCTCCTCCTCCTACCTCCTCCCTCCTCATCCTTCCTCCTTCGTCCGTCCGGCTCCCTCCTCTCTCCTCCCTCCTCCCTCATCCTCCATCTCCTCCTCCTTTTCCTCTTCCTTCCTCCTCCCCCCCTCTCTTCCCTGATTATTCATCCTCTCTCCCCCCTGCGTCCCCTCATCCTTCCCCTCTTCATCCTGGGAAGACCCCCCTCCCCCGTAGAAACATAGCATGGGTCTGCAGATCCACAGCTCCGTGGATAGCCTGATGCTTCACTTGCGGTGCTCCGCGGATCCCGTTTCCCTTGGGTCCCGGATGTGAGTTATTATTATAGATTGACTCCCGGGAAATAAATGGATCCATCGTTTTTTCAACACACAGGAAATTTGATCCGCGCAACACAGAAATAGGATCCACGAAACTCTCCCACACCCGAAAATGGATCCAATTGGATCCATGGAGGTTCTGATATTTGTAATCCAAGAGGAAAAACTTTCGGCCTGGGGATGTATCATGGCCCACGCCATGATGTCCCCCCCCCCCCCTAGTCATCATCCCCCTCTTTGCCGCCCCCGACCCCCCTCGCTCGCCGCCGATCGAAGGCGACGTCCTCGTCGGCCTCGCAGCTCGGGGCGGCCGCCTCTGGCGCCGCGGGGGCCCCGAGGCCCGCGGCGAGCAGCGCGAGGAGAGCCGCGCGGGCCGGCGCCATGCGCGCGACGCTTCGCCGGGGAGAAAAAACCTGCACGAACAGTAGATCGCAGCTCCTCATCCTCCTCCTCCTCCTGCTCTTTCTCCTCCTCCTCCTCCTCCTCCGCCTCCTCCTCCTCCTGCTCCTCATCCTGCTCCTCTTCCTCCTGCTCCTCCTGCTCCTCTTCCTCCTCCTCCTCCGGCGGTGTGACTTTTGTTGGACGACGACGTCGTCGTCGTCGTCGACAAAGTCCCGTGATCGTCGTCGTCTCCGTGCGACGACGACGACGACGGAGACCTCTCCTTCCTCGTCGTACATCCCACATGCGACTTGCCGGGACAAATCGTTCGTTATCCCCGCGGGACCCCGAACTTGATTATCCCCCAGGCGTCACCATCAAAGGCAATTGGTTAGATCACAACTCCTGGGAAGCCTTCGAAATACCGCCAACCCGTGCAATAAGGACGCGCGACAAGGATGCAAGGGTTAGGTCGGGCCTGCCCCCCTACAGGGGGATTTTGGCCAAAAAATGCAAACATACAAAAAAAACAACTCAGAAAAGATGCCCAAACATGCTCGAACAATAGTCCCCATATCTTTTAAACTATTTTTGGACATTCCCCCTGTAGAGGGACAGGCCCGACTTCAGGGTAACCTTCGAGCGTCGCTCCTTTTGACTATGCGGGTTGACTGCAACGATAAGCTCGGATGTTGCTAGAAGCGCCCCTGGCCGAGGGTGCCCCCAGGACTTCCACGGAGGCCCCCGCGGCCTCCAGAGTACCCCTCGCGAGGTCCCGAGGACCCCACAGGGGCTCCCAAAATGGAACCAACAGCTGGGGGCACCTTGGCCCAGGGGCACCTTAGCGCAGCACCCGGGGCCACGGAACCGGATCAGGCCGGCTGACGCACGGGATTGCGCCTCCTTTTGGAGGCCTAGAAATGGGCACCAACACCAACACAGGGGGTTGCCTCCACAGGGGGAAGACGATCCTCGATTTCGGTGTTGGTGGCAATAGTTCGGCCACCTTCTTGGAAACCAGAATATTACCACCATCACCGAGATCGGGATCTTCCTCCCTCGGTGGATGCACACCGCCGATATTGGTGTTGGTGTCAATCTCTAGGCCTGCGATCCTTGGATGGAATTCTGCCGGTTCACCGCCGGACTTCACTGGATAGGGCGCGCGAGAGGACAGAAAACCCTTCCGGGGGCCACGCTGCCATATAGGAATGCAGGAGGCGCGGGTCGCGAGGCACAGGACACCAGGGCACCCCGGATTTGGCAGGGTTCAGTCGGGCCTGTCCCCCTACAAGGGTTTTTTTCGACGAAAAAAATAGATACCCCAAAAAACAATCAAAACATAGTCCAAAAAATAGTCTGGGGACTGCTTTTTGGGGTATCGTTTATTGCCTTTTTCGTGTATGTTTGGGTGTTTTTTATTCATCGTCGAAAATCCCGTTGTAGGGGGACACGCCCGACATAATGGCAGGGTCGACCTGCTGATCCGGGCCGGCTGTAGATCGCAGCGTGCACGAGCGGGCCTGGCCGTGCCGGCGCCGACGCCGAGGTGCTACAGATTAACTTCTCATACATGATTAATTTTTGAATGAATGTATTCATGAACTCATCGTTTTTTTTTAATACGTAAAGCCCATCATTTTTAATACTAAATCCCTGCATGTTTATTACATCATTAATCGGATTCGTAATACAGTATTAATGGATGAATCCATTCGTATCGTTGTTTTAAGTACTAAGTCCCTGCATGTTTCATACATGATCCGCACGCGGAGCGTGTATTTAAAACGGCACTGTAGCCTCCTGCAGGCGCGGCTCCCGCGGATGGCAACCGCGCCCGGAGGCCCGCGCGGAGGGCTCGGCGCTCCGCGCCGGGGCCCCCCCGTGGGTCGCGCCGCCCCGCCCAGGCCCGAGAGCAGCCGCGAACGGGGCCCGGGGGAACTGCACACGTCGCTCACTTCTTTGGGGGAGGACGAGGAGGAGGAGGAGGAGGAGGAGGAGGAGGAGGAGGAGGAGGAGGACGCCGTTTGGTAAACGCACCCAGGGAAGGAACGGGACATGGTTGTGGATAGGGGAACAGAAAAAGACATAAACATAAAAACTCGGAGGTCCGCGCGGATTTCTCGGATCCGCGCTGGACCCCCCTGGCAGCGCCTTCGGCGCCGCCCCCTGGCGCGCTCCGCGCGCCAGGGAGGGGGGTCCAGCGCCGATCCGAGAAATCCGCGCGAACCTCCGAGTTGTTATGTTTATGTCACTTTCTGCTCCCCTATTCTCGTCGTGCTCACTTCTGAGTGTGCTCGTTTCTCTGACTGTTCCCGGCCCCGCAGTGGCCAGGAAGAGGCCCAGGAGAGAACCATTGGAGATGGAAGGATCTTTTGCCCCCCAAAAAAAATCAGAGCACTCGAAGGAATCAGAAATGAGCAATGTGTACGCTCACGCAGCTCTTCCTTCTCCGACGTGTGAGCGCGGGGCCCCAGACAGGCTGGCACGCTCGGGAGCCTCGTCCGAGCCACAACAAATGCCTGCGGACGGGCGCTCGCATGCACGCGGGAGCGCGTGCAGATGGCCATCGCTGCGCGCGCGCGCTCAAATTCTGGCGGATGGACCCGCGCCTCGGCACTCGATCGTGCTGCAGGGCGCGAGCATCGAGAGGCTGACAACTAGGGCTCCCAACTTCGCGCTTCGCGCTCCGCGAAGCGCGAAACACTTCGCGCCCTCGCGCCGCCCCCCCCCCAGGGGGAGAAGAGGAGGACGAGGAGGAGGGGGAGGAGGGCCGAGGACCGCGAGGCGCGAATCACTTCGCGCTCTCGTGGGAGCCCTCTGTGGACCCGCGCCTCGGCACTCGATCGTGCCTGCAGGGCGCGAGCCTCGAGAGGCCGACGACGCGTCCTCGAGCCGCGGGGGGCCCCCAGCTCGGCAGCACCCGGCCCGCCGTCTGGGCCCATGCTCGCACGGGGGGGGGGCAGGAAATCACGGGCTCAGAGCACATCCACATCTTAGGAACCAGCTACTGGGAGGTTTTCGTCGGAGAGAGCACAGAGCGCATCCATATCTTAGGAGGCAACTGCTGGGAAGTTCCCGTCGGAAAGAATAGGGAAGATCAAGCCCCATTTGGGGGCTATTACGCCGGAGTGGGCCTCGGATCAAGCGGGAGTAAGCCGGATTCGGCGGGAGTAATAGGGACGAAACCGGATTTCGGACCCGGGCAAAATCGGAATTTGACCTCCCAGGAGTTGCATCCGGACATGTCCACGCCCTCGCGGTCTGGAGTCCGGAGCGCGATCCCGCGGATACGCGGATGCGCACGGAGGCGCTCCGCGCGGGGGCGAATCCGCGAGGAAGCGCCCCACAGCCGCGGGGAATTCCCGCCCCGGGGGCCCGGCCCGTGAGGCCGCGGAGGCGGATACGTTTGAAGGGACCCTGGGACACACAAATCAATACACACAAATAAAAAGGTTTCCCTGATTTTCCCATATCTTCTGGGTTACTGTCTTCCCCCCCACTGCCCATAGTTTGCCATATTTTCTTGGGAATCGACGATTAATTGTGTCTGTGTGTTGTTTTTCCTCTTGAACGTTTTTTGTTCGCCCACGAAGGCTGGAGCGGAAGAGCAGCTGACTACCTACCAGGCCACCCCAACACAACCCGAAGACCCGAATTTCGGGTTGAGGGGAGTATGGGCTCCATATGTGTTTTTTTTCGATGTTCCCCGACCCCTCCCCCACTGGAAATGGAGGGCAAGTTGAGGCCTTCGGGTTGGGTTGGGGTGGTTTGGTGGGTGGCGAGCAGCTGCTTCTATTGCCACCGTGAGGCCATGTGCCTGCCGCGCAGGCCCGACGCGCCAGCACAGTGGCAGAGCGAGCCAGGTGGCACGGGGGATGGGCCGGCCAGCACGGGCTCGGAGCCCGCATCTCCCCTCCAAGCCTGCAGGAGGAGCAGGGAAAGCAGGATAGGAGGAGTGACGAGTAGGGCTGAGCATAAAACTAGAGACGGAGGGGAGAATAAGAAGGAGGGATAGTCAAGGGTGTCGATGGACGTGGCTGCGATGCACCTGCCAGAGGGTAGGGTGTAAAGACATTTCGAAAAAACGCAATACAGGATAATGCCTCGCGCGCTCTGAAGACGCTTGTGGAATATTTGAGCTCTCTTGGAGCTCGGTTGGGGCCCTCGCCAAACTATCTTGGAATTCTCTCTAGGCCCATTGAATTACTTCGAGGCGGGGGTGGTGAGGTGTCGGCGTAGCTAGGGTCAATTCGGGCAAGTTGCCCCGTGGGCTGTGCCGAAATTTGTCTGTGGCTGTCCCACAGGTGGTCTCGTGGAGTGTCCCGTGGTGGTTAGCCTGTGAATTGTCGCACAGATAGTCCCCTGGATTGTCCCGAGGTTGCCCCATGGTTGTCCCTAGGGTTGCCATGTAGTTGCCCCGTCGGAGATGAAAAGCGGCATGCGAGACCAACGGCAGGACAATGACGTAGATAGGTAGTCGCGTGGATGGTCAATAGCTGGCCAGGTACAGAAATCATTCGGCTGATGAGGAGGTTGCCAGGTGGGTGGTGGGTGCAACTGGTTTCGGTTCTGCGAGCGGCGTTGGATCAGATTGGCGATCAAGATGTCTAGCGATCTCGATGTACTACTACGCACACATGAATGACAACGTACGTTCGCAAGCGTAGCCCCCGAACAGTGCGTTATTGTACTGTGGAAGTGGAAGCCATGAGGTGTACGGTATTTGGGGAAAGCAATGTCGTGTAAACTATGTGGCGTGAGGCCTGGACGCGAAATATCGAGAGCACGCTGTGTAGGCGTGAGCTAGGCGGTGTGAGCTGAAGCTGAACCCTATGGTGCATAAACTATGCGATGCAAGCTACGACTCGTGAAGCTATCCGGTGGAAGCCGTGCGGTGCAACCTGTGCGGTGCACTATCTGTGGTGCGAGCTGTGCTGTGCAAGCCCACGGGGCACCCACGAGGCAACACGGGGCGGCACTGTTCGGGGGCTGCTACAGGTGCCCCTGGCCCAAGGTGCCCCCAGCTCTTCGCTTGACTTTGGAGCCTCCCTTGGCCCTCTGGACCTCGCGAGGGGTGCTCTGGAGGCCGTGGGGGCCTCCTTGGAAATCCTGGGGGTACCTCGGGCCAGGGGTACTTTTTGGCCACACCCGAACTGTGGCACAGCCTCGCCTGCACCCCCCGAGCGCGGGGGCGCCCGCGCAGGGGCCGCACGGGCGGCAGCGTGGCGCCACGCCGACGCACACCCGGAGCGCGGGGCACTCACCACGGGGCGCCGACGAGGCGGCACGCGCGGTCACGCTGCGAGAACCCTGTGCGCCCTCCTCTCGCGGAGCGCCCGCGTGACGCCCGCGGGACGGCACCGGCCCGCAGCGTGGCGAAACCTTGACGTGCCCATGCAGCGCCTTGAACACCTGCTGCCCAGCGCGGGCCCAAAGTGGTCGGCCATTCCGATGTGGATGTGTGCGCTCTGCGATGCCCTCTGCGGGGTGCAAGCTGCGTGGTGTGAGCCATGCTGTGCAAGCTCTGGTGCAAGCCATGCAGTGCAACCTCGACGGGTCCCCAAAGCGAGGCGGGCGGGAACGAGGCGACAACGGGCGGAGACGCGGCGAAATCCCGACGGACCCACCCACCGCCGAACCCCACAAATGGGCGGCAACGAGGCGGCACCGGGCGTCGACGCGGCGAGGCCTCGACGAACCCTCCAAGTGGGCGGCAGCGAGGCGGCGATGCACGGGCGGCGACGCGGCAATACCTCGACGGCCTCCCCGTCCAGGTGGGCGGCAGTGGGGCGACAGCGGGCGACGGCGCGGCGAGACCTCGACGGACGCCCCCTCCTCCCCCACGTGGGCGGCAACGCGGCGGCGGCCGGCGGCGACACGGCGAGACCTCGGCGGGTCCCCCCAAGAGGGCGGCGGCCACGGACGGCGAGACCTCGACGAGACCCCCCCCCCCGCAGTGGGCGGCCACGAGCAAGGCAGCGAGGCTGCAGCGGGCGGCGACCGGTGTAAGCCTCGACGGCCCCACCCTGGTGGGCGGCGCAACGAGGCGGCAACGGGCAGCGAGACCTGGCGCCGGGAGGCGCTCATGTGTCGAGGAACGGGCCAGCGGCGGGGCGGATACCGGCTGCATGCGTCGGACATCCTCCTCCCCCCTTCCCCTATCCTACCCCATTGGTCCGGCCCGACAAGTGTCCCCCCCCAGGACCTCGACGACATGACGGCGACGCTGGCGCCGACGCCGACGCCGACGCCGACGACGCCAAGGAAGACGACGACGACGACGACGACGACGACGACGACGACGACGACGACGACGACGACGACGACGACGACGACGACGACGACGACGACGACACCGCCGACGGCCGCCTCCGGCGCGCCCAGCGCCGCGGCGGCGCCGGGCGCAGCCGCGGGGGCGCCCGCGGCGGCGAGCTCGCGGCGGCGCGAGGCCGCGAGCTCGCTGCGGAGGCCCTGTCGGGGTCGCCGCCGGCGGCCCGCGGCGGGCGGCAGCGGGCGGCGGCGGCGGCGGCCGCGGCGGCGGCGGCGGCGGCGGTGGGCCGTGCGAGGACGACGGCGGCGGCGGCCGTGGCGGCGGCCGCCGCCACGGCGACCGTTCTCTGGTCTCTCGTCCCCCCCCTCCGCCTGTTTCTCCTCTCTGCTCTAGTGCTCTAGTGGTGTCCCTCATCCCTCGACGCCTCTCCCCACACCCCTCCTCGCAGCCCCACAGCTCCTGCTTCTCCCCCTCCCTAACTTCCGAAAGCCTGACGCTGATGTGGGAGCAGCCCAAACTATCAGAGGTATGAATACAGTCGCATCCTTCTCTCTCCGTCCTTCCTGCCTCCTAATTTATCCTGCGTATCCTTCCTCTCTTCCATCTCGCCTCCTTCCTTCCCGCCCTCCTCCATCTTCCCTCAGCATTATTCTTCCCCGCTCCCCCATCTCTGTTCCCTCCTCCTTCTTTGTTGCGTTGCTCAGGCTCGTCGGCCGTAGCGTCAACCTCCTGATCCTGCTCCTGCCCCTGCTCCTTCTCAACCTCCTTCTCCTCCTCCTCCTCCTCCTCCTCCTCATCATCATCATCATCATCATCATCATCATCATCAGCATCATCATCATTATCATCATCATCTATTATTATTCTCCTCCTCCTCCTCCTCCAATTCTTCTTCCTCCTCCTCTTCCTCCTCCTCCTCCTCATCCTCCTCTTCATCCTCCTCCCCTTGTCTTTACACCAACTGAAAGTGCATACTGCTCTCCATCATCCCTGGCTCTGTACGGAAGATGTCCCGCCCTCTCTGCGCATTGTTGCACACGCAAAGAATGCCACCACTGCTGTTATATCCACTGGATCTTAAATCTGAGCGTTCTCGGTGTGCTCAGAATTGTGCCACCGCTGCAGCGTGAGCCTCATTTTAGGAACGGCGCTTTGGCGAAGGCTTCTTTCCCCCTGCCCAACGTGACGCTCGCTACCGGGGCCAAGCCCCCCGAAATGCTAACGATGGTGCTGGGCGGGGTGGCCTGGAC